AAACGGAGAGACGGGCGTTTGTCCTCCCTGGCCGCCGCCGCGCCGTCGCACGCGGCGATCGACGCGGCGAAGGCTGTGGTGGTTGGATGTGGCGGTGTGATTTATTAGCTGTGGAAACAATATGGTTTTAGCCCTCTTCCACTCTTTTGGCTGTTGGAGTGAAAGTTCGTTAATTTTTCGATTCGCTACTGGCTCGACCGACCATAGAGCACCACCTTAGTACGGCTTGCGCTGTTTGAGTGACCTGTTTAATTTGTGATGACCCCCTCTCCCCAATGGCGTGAAAGAGAGTAGATCATGCAGTATGGCGATATGTTTTCACATGACGCCCATTCTACATGACGTTAATACGCAGTTTACTATGGTTCGTTCACTCAGACTGTTTCAGAAAGTTCCAATGTTCTCCGCAGCGTTTCTTAATTTCCAAACTTAATTTCTGGCGCTCATGTCCATGGGAGACATCAAAGTGGAAGAGCCTTACTGTGCTTGGGACAAGCCACCTCGTCACTTGACAATCAAATGTGAAGGCTGCAAACGGTGGACAACAGCATGGACTAGTAAAAACCTCCACATCGCAGAATCGCCGCACACGCGACGAGCCCGATCGCCGCGTGCGGCGGCAGCCTGACCCCAGGAGGACACACGCCACCCACCCTGAGTACATTTTAGTCGCCGCCTATCTGCGTCTCTTCAATCCCCATGCACTTACCCCCTTTCTCTGCACGTCATGCATTGGTCGCATTGAGCGTCCTCCGTCCCTGCCATGCGCAGAGCGCAGGGAAGAAAGGGGTACGTGGAAGGTGTTGTGTGTGGGGCAGCAAGAAAGCCACTGGAGCTATCGATAATATTGATAACTTTCTGCCAATAAGGTGATCAGCTGTCCCCCGCAGTGTTCCACTTATTGATCGTGTTATAGCTCCTTCCTTGGTCCCGGGAGCATTTCACTACTGTACAATCATCTAGGCCATGATCCTAGGTTACAAACACGTCGATTGGCGCAGTGGGTTCGTTCCTTGTTGACATTGGATCGCTCGCGGGATCAGTTCTCCATGATACTGGATGTTTTGCAACCCTCATAGGTTACTACCTTGCTTTCTACAATTCTTTCAAAGTAACCAGCAATGCTTTGTGGTGCAGTGGCAAACGTCGCGCTCATGGGCGCTGCATTACATGGTTCAAGTCCATGGCGACGACTTTACTACTGTCCCAGTATGTTATGTTCCCATGAAGAATGTGTTCTATGCCTGTTTGTTTGATGTATCTTATCTTCATTCTGTTGTTGTTATAGCTATAGATCCTCTTTCAACCGCTACAGCCCCTAGTCGATCGATAACCTGAGCCGCTCGCCAGTGATGACGTCACCGCCTGGATGGAGGAGCAACCAATCACAGCGATGTTCCCGCCAATCAATATTGTTAGGATGGGACTATCGAGAGTGGAATGGAGCACCTATCAAATCCTTATTAAGTACTATGGATCTACAAGGTTATGAGGTGAATGAATGGTTGATTTGTTGAAAACAATATCATTTAAAGTGGATATTCTAGAAAGGAGCTATTCAGTGGGGTTCCCTGAAGGTGGAAAGATTGCTGTCTTTAGATCAAGTAGGAGAGGAAAATACGGAAAACTCTGAGCTTACCAATGAGGTGATGATTATGTATGGTTAAACTTTCAAAATATTGATTAGTGTAAACTGAATGATGTCTCAATTATGAAAAATCCGTTTCCTATTCAGGATACTAGAAATCAATCTCGTAAAAGGGAATTGGTTTTGAGTGAGGACATGTCCAATAAAATATCGAGAAGTGATGGAGGAGAATAAGCCGACAAATGAATAGTCTTCTATCAATATTGTTTATGTTATTAACCTTTCCAGTTTTATATGACTATTAGTTTAACATGTTTTATCAATTGAAGACCTACTGAATATAAAAGCATTGGAATAAATGCTTATGATACAGTGTGTTTTAAACTATGAGAATAATGAAAATGGAGTTGATTAGAAGTGAGAGTTAGTTTAAGCAGAGTGAACTCAGTATGATTGGAAAAGAGAAGCCGTCTGTGGACGCAGAAAATCGTCTGTGGACGCAGATTCATGTTCGTCTGTGGACGTACATGAACTTATATGTGACTAATTAGTCACATGAAAGGAAGTTGAAGTAAGAAAAACATATGAATACCGTATTGATTACGCATCTGTTTTCAAAAGGTTATGGTGTTTCAACAGTTTTATTCATAGTGTGAGGAACAATCAATTAAAACTCCAGGGGTGAAGGAAGTGTAATGATATGTGAGGCTATCATTCTAAACGTGAAATTGTAATAAACAACATGGTGTAAAGGTATGATCAAAAGAATTAAGAGAATGATCCCGATGAACGGAGCTGGGAGAACAACCTACCCGGGTTTCCCTCTTGGTAGAATGTCTGACAGCCATGTTCCAATGAGAAAAGGAAGGAGAAATACGAAATGTGAGACTGAAGAAATGTTAATGATAAGAAAATGGTTCGTTTCGCCTCTTAATCATACGAACCATTGTAACCTTCATTCCCTGAGGCTCTTCAGTGATTGGGAATGAATGCATTGTGATGTCTATACTATGTCAGCAGATGTTATGAGAAATATGTGAAAACAGTAGACTAAAACGTTAGTAGACATGGTTTAAAGAAAGACGTAAGGTTTGCAAATTGAAAATTAGGTAAATGGTGTGCATTTAATGTAGGTGTACGGTAAAATACTCAGTATTGGATACTGTAGCAGATACGGTATTATTACTAAGTGTTATATAGTATTGGAGCAGGTTAGCCTCTTGTAGGAGGACAAGGCTAAGAAGGAATGCAATGATATATAAGAGGGAGGGGTGCAGAAGAGGAGAATGATATGTAATTAAAGGTCAAAGCTTATCGGGACCAAGGTTATTCAAGCATTCTTGTGACCAGTTTTCTAATGTTATTGATATTATTATTTAATGCAAATTTATAACCAATGAACTTGTTTTTATAAATACTTTTGATAATGTTAGCAATTATAAAGTTCTTTGAGTACGTTATTAATCACCAGTTTAGCTCCGCACGCATCCGCGCGCATCATATGGTGGGCTTCAGTGAAACTGGACAACCTGTAGAATGTTAGGTCACATGGCTGAGAAATATTATTGAGCTGCTTTGAAAAATGCTCCTGATAAAATGCAAAGGCTGTCAAATTCCGCTGAAGACTATCGCGTAGTGCACGCGTAGCATGCGGAATGAAAATGGCTTATCACGACTTCGTAAACATTCAGCATTAATATCGAGTTTGGATGATTTAGCGGTCTATAGAATTAATACTGTGAGTATCGCTGAAAGAGTGAGATATGACCATTCAATCTGCAACTAACCTAGCTCTGATGATAACTTGTCATTGGTCCAGGTCCAAATAGTTGAGCGTTTCAACTTTCTTTGCACGGTTTGGTGAAAGGTTAGAATTGAGCATATTCACGTGCTAAGAACCTGGCTTAGCCTCGCCGACACGATCGCTTGGCATGAGCTTTGTTGCAATCACAATCGCAAACGGCGTAAATTGGTGACGAAAGCTTTCCGACGTCCGTTATCAGCTCCTATCAGTAGTTATCACTTCCCGCCACCCGTCATCAGTGTTCACCTCGGCCCCCTATATATCCTAGAAGTTTGAGCGCTCTGGGTCCAAAGGGTGAAGTTATGAATTTCCGGTCAGACACACACACACACAACCGCTTAGCCGATTATATATAGTAAGAAGATATATACAAAAAAAAAAAAAAAATAATATTTACGTAGGATTCCTTTCTGATTACGTCCTTTATTTTTTTTGTGTACATTGTAATTGTAGAGCAAACGTTGGCAATTCATAGAATTTCGGTATAAATCACTGAAGCTTTATTCTGAAGATATTAGTTTGAGAATGTGGAAATCTAAGAACTTTGAAGTTAAAATCATCTGTTTTATTGTGCAAGTTGGTAAAGATGATCATTTTTTATACTAATGCTAAGGTCTAAATAGTCACTAGCAAATTCGTTTGGGTTAGTTTTTTGAGCTCTAACGTATTGTCATATACGTTATTTAGAAAATTTTCTATTTCGGATTTTTTCTGATTGCGTATAACAAGTAAATCATCCTTCTTCTTTACCCATTTAAAACATACCAGATTGGTCCCCCGGCAAGCGCCGGAACCTCCCTACCTTGCGTAAGCTTTCCCTTCTCCCTCCTCTCCTTACTCACCCCTCGTTCTCCTCTGCTCGCCGGCTACCACAGCATCACCTTGTGGAATGACCGAAAGTGTGCTAAGTGCGTGTTTATATAGCCGTTCTGGGTTATCACAATCATGCTTGTGCAAAACATTGATAGCGCAAATCCTGCGAGCTACCCAGATTTGTTGGCGGCTTGTTTATTCCGTTAGCTGCCTTATCACTCACTCACTTCATTTTGACGGACGGACACACATACATACATACATACACACACACATACAGACATACAAACCGACACACAAAGTTAGCGCTTTATAAAATAGCAGGATTAAGTATATCAGTAATTATAAGCAAGCTCCGTTACGCCTATGTTTAGCATATTTTGCAGAAATGTTTGTTACTAGCTAATTTATATGAAATTTTAGGATATGGCACTTCGCTCGGCGATGTATTAACTAGTGTTTTACATTATTAAGCTTAAGGTGAATTACAGATCAGGACCTCTACGTCTTTTCACAGTCTTAAGACACAAGGAGGAGTTTGAACTATCAAAAATTCTACTGTACATTTGAACTTCTAGAGTTTTCAAACAGGGGAAGTTTTCAAACAGGGGAAGTTTTCAAACACCATCCCTTTGAAATCCGAGATTTCTTTCCAAACTTCCACTTCTAATTCCAACAATACATGATCATAAAGCTTAAGACTGCAGTCATATTTTGTTTATTGTCATAGTCAAAATTTTGATAGAAAAACTGCTTTTAGGGACAATTTTGCCCCATTTTGTGCGAGAGTTGGGCGCGCCAAAAAGAGGCGTGGTCCCACGAGCACGCTACGTGCAAATCATGTCGTCAAATTGTTAACACATTGACGCCCGCGCCGATTTCGGCGCATGTCGCACATGTGTCATTGGCTGTATTGCGTGCGTGCATACTCGGCGATGCACCGATCTAATAGGTGTGACATTTTGTGGATTTTCGTTGAAAGGGCGTGAGAAATTCTGATTTCGTACACGAATCAGAAGTCCTTTTTCATTTTGCTTGTAATTTCGTGTTTATAAGGTCGTTTGTTTTGTATTGTTTTGTTTTTTAACATTTGTTTCGTACGTATTTTTGGGAGCGTTTTTGAATACCGTCACTAGAATAACATCATTTTGGACAATGCAGGCAGACTGGAGTGAAATTCCCAAGCAACTTCCTACTCTTTTTTCTGTCTGCAACGCCAATAACTTACTCCGCTATGGGCGTACTCCGCTGCGAGTTTGGCTGATATATTGCACGAAAAAAGGCTAAGCAAGTTCCGCAAAACGGATCCAGTTCAAGACATCATAAGTTTGTTGAAATTGAAGTTGTCGGCATGCCACATGTTTTACGAATTCGCGTGAAAAGGTTTGCTATGGGACAGAATACAGATGTGCATACTCGGCGATGCACAAATGTTAGATGTGGGAGTTTCGACGTACATACCCGACGAGCAACATTGTGTTAACTTGAGTTAGCTAGCTAGGGAAGAGTTTATCAAGCACTAGTGTCTACGCCACACGTATGTGTATCAAGATAGTAGCCGCAAATGAGGCGACATGTTTAATTTAGGTACTTTCTGTTTTTGTATTCTGTGCAGGAACCAACATGCAAATGTATAGGATCGTCGAAATCTACCGCTACATCGAAGTTTGCCGGCGTAAGGCGGAGATAGTTGTGGAATGAGGTTGAGAGCCATGTGGACTTCCATTCAAGCAAAAGTCCTAGAACAGGGCGCAGAGCCTGCCTCGTTACTAAAAGGATTTAGAATTTATAGTCGCATTCCGTGGAAACGTAGTACGTTTCTTCCATCACCGTGAACAAAGCTACAGATGTAGTGGGCGAGCTGCTAGGTTACAATCTACAACTAGAAAAGTATGCTCTGATTTCGAAGCTATTGAGAAGCTCCGTAAACATCGAGCATCAACGATGGAGGTGCCGAAAAATGAAAAATTGAACGGCGATAGATAAACAGCCACTGTTTTGATGGGCTGTGCAACGCGCACTGGAAAAAGCAAGGCAAAGATGGCGGTAACGGTCCTATTAATGCATTACCTCCAATCCCTTTTATATGCCCCGTAGGCGTATTTGAGAACTGGAAAGGCTCTTGAAGCGCCTCGACGTCTTACCATGCCGCTGATAGGGAGCATTCTGCTGCGAATGCACCGCCTGTCGTCTCGTTAAACTCTCTCTACCCTGACCATACTTTCGTCCACAAACACTAGTTTTATCGCCTCCACCGGATCGTCATGGCCTTTTGACTTCTCGGCCTTTTGGCTAACCACGCGCACGGTCCGGAGATCAATCCTGGGTCGTGAGTCGCCCGGGCCAACCAAGCCTTCCATCCCTCCGGGGTCGGTTAATTGGTACCAGACTTGTCTGGGAGGATAAAAACACTGACTTGTACATCGGCTGGCCAAGTCATTGTATAGGCCACATCGCATTCAAACGCCACCGAATGTACAAATGGAAGTAGAATGCGTGCCGCATCCCAACAAGCTCTACCAACGGCAAATGCCTTATCCTTTCATCCTTTTACTGGTTTCTCTTTGAGTGGATTACAAATTCATGCTAATACCCGGAAACGGCTAAGTTTCATCTG